CTGGTGGGAAATGGAGCTAAGATCTCTCCTCCATGCTTGTTTCATAACTATTTGCATTGAGTTCGATGTTATGGGTTGGATCTGGCCAACTCATTACTTTTTCACTCAGTCTCCCTTGTCTTGTATGCTTATTACAGCCCCAGTCCCACATGGCTCTTGTTTGTGTGGGTCCTAGGACCCCCAGCATATTCCTTTTTGGTGATCATAGTGGACCCCTCCTTCCTTTTTCACCAGCAGAAAAGCGTCTTAGATCCAACCATATGTTCACCTACTGCGTCATGGCCAGCTCATCTTGAAGCAGCTATCATTTTCAGCCAGTCCGTGCTGCCTGCCTAGTACATCAGCCATGCTCCTATTATACTTTGATCCTGAGCTGTCTTTTAGCCCATCACTAGACACAGAACATGGATGGATGTTTAAACTGGCCCTTGGGAAAGGACTGCAATATTTCTGCCGCCTTTGTTCACACAACCAGTCTTCCGCATCACAAGCAAGGGAGCTGTGGGGGTATATTATCCAATGAATGTACACAAAAGAGTAAAACGGGTGATTTGAAGTTTGTTTTAACTTTTGTGGCATAGCAAGCAGAATCTTAGAATGGGAGGTTAGGGTAACAAGAGGGTCAGTGCAGTAAATAAGCAGACAGACTGGCCCCAGAAGATACTGTTGTCTAACTCTTTCAGAGACGTGTCCTTTCACAGAATTGACAGAGAGACAGTGATGAAAACATTCTGGCTGAGGATCGTGTCAGGGAAGGGAAGGCTGAAACAAATAGGATGAGTAGTTGCCTTGGCATAAACCACTGTGCAGAAGGTAGAATAGCTGCCCTTGAAATTTACCGGTATCCCAAACTATTGCTTATATGGGCAGGAGGCACGTTCTTGTCAAACTGCTGAGCTTAGAATTGCAAGTGGAGTGGGGAAAGGACACACATGACAAATGGAAAGAGGAAAGCACTAGCCACTTAGACTCACAAATAGGATCCGAGCTGAGGCAGACTAGTCAGGAATGCCATCAAGTGATATGAAATGCTTATCAGTGTCGCACTTTCTTTCAGGCTGAACCAATGTGGCTGCATTTTCCAGCCCACTGAAAGTCAAGTTTATGCAGTGAAAAGTGCCAAAGCCGCAAACTGTGTGACACTCCCAGCATGAGTAATTTGAGGGCCTGCATTCTTAAAAAAATATATCCAAACCCCAATTCTGCTAATATTTTAGTTGCCAGCACTGTGAGCTGCTTGGATAAGAAACCTTTGTTCTGTGCATAATTTATGTTAGGAAATCTGTCACCATCTTCTCTGTTTGAATATGAAGCAATGAGCAATTTGTACTGCTGCATTGCCTAACTCATTATAAATATGCAAGTTCATTTTTTGGGAGCTGAATAAAATGGTTATGTAATTACATACTTCTCATAATTATTGAGTAATTATATACTTCTCATAATTGCCAAGTAATCATTCTGCTATAACTAGAACTTAATGTTACAACTAATTACATAATTACTGTGTATTAATGTTGTTATCTAGGCAACTTAGAACAAAGTGTTGCTTTGCTGATAGCTTTTTTCTCAGCAGCATTTTATAACAACAAATGCTAGTATTTGTTATATAACTTAACATGGAGTTTGAAACTGAACAGAAGTAGTTGAAAAATACCAGTTTTAGCAAGGAAAGTCATAGATTAAATTGTTGTATGAATGGTTACTCGGTGCGGTGGGGAAGAGAGACATATCACATGGGGGGGGGGCTGTTTACCCTTTCCCCACATTATCTTCAGAATAGCTTGTAGATAAAGATACAAGTTGCTTTAAATGTGACAATGAAATTAAAAAGATATGGAATGGTATAGTATAGCTGGATCTTGTAAAATCTTGGAAGCTAAGCAGGGTTAGTACTTGGATGGGAGACCGCCAAGGAAGACTTTGCAGAGGAAGCAGTGGCAAACCCCCACTGCTTAATTACTTGCCTTGAATGAAAACCTTATGAGATCGCCATTAGTTGCAATTTGACAGCACTTTACACTGCAATTTGACAGCACTTTACACACGCACAATGAAATGAAAATATGAGTAGAATAAATTCAAAATCCAATATAGACTGGTACATTTTTGATATTGTGTCTGATGTTGGAAATACAAATACTTCAGTTTCAATCTAGCCATGCCATTCTGGACATTTAAGAGCACTTAAGTCTTCAGAAGAGACCAATTTCAGCTGATAACCCCTCTCACTTTACTATTCCTGAGGGTCCACCCAGGGGACCACAGTTGGTGGAGGAAGAGGGAGAACTTGCTCGGTCTGCAGGCCATTGGTTACATATTACTAAGTGCATGCTCTTGCATTTGAATGTTCTTCTGGCCCCAGGAAAAAACATGACAGTTTAACATAAGGCAAAGTAAAGGTAAAATAACTGGATTTAAGGCTTTTTCAACCAGTGCACCTAAGGGTTTGGATAATCGCGCATATGCTAAAGAAACAACAATTACACTGATGGCTCCAAATTGATTGTTAATACTGGTAGCTAGAAGATCCATTTCAAGACTGTGTCTAAAAGGAAAAATAAACAAAAGTGATAAAGAAGTGTTGGACAAATAGTTAAGTTTAGTGTGGATAAAGCAGTAGCTGACCTAACCCATTTGCCTATCAACATACTTCATAGAATCATAGATCTCCAGGGTCAGTTAGTCCAACCCCCTGCACAATGCAGGGAATTCACAAATACCTCCCCTCACAGTCCCCTAGTGACCCCTGCTCTATGCCCAGAAGAGGGCAACCCCCCTCTCCAGAATCCCTGGCCAAACTGGCCTGGAGAACAATTGCTTCCTAACCCTAATTAATGAGGCAAATACTTAAGCATTCCAGATGTATAGAATTAGAAAAGGTGCAATGAATCACTGAATTCATACGCCCTCCATAAGAACTACATAAGCCCTCCACTACAGAGCCTGCCCACCTGCCACATGATTGCTGTTTCCAGATATTACATGTGCATTGCAGGACAAAGATCTGGGAAATGGCTTCAATTGCACTGTGGTAGTACAGCTACTTTATTAAACTGGGACTGGAGCAGACAATTGAAATGGACTTAATTGTATTACTGGGACAGTTTGACCCAGGGGTGTCAAACATAAGGGGTGCGGAACTGGCTCGTCCAGGGTTGTTATGAGGACCATGAGCAACTGGTGCAAGGGAGGGAACAGGAGGCTGCCTGGGGGCGGGGCAGAGCCACTCTAATTGTGGGATCTGTAGCAGTCAAGCAGAACCTTTTCACTTCAGGGACAGCCTCACTGGTAAATTGGGAGTCACTGCAGCTACATTCATACCACTCCACTTGGTCTGCAGCTCTGGAGATACTGTCCCAGATGGCCTCAGTGATCAGCATTTGCACATGGTGTGTGTGCACAGATGATCCTCTGTTGGAACATGGGAGTGTCTGCCCAGCACTGCACTGCTGAGTCTCCAGTCCACTCATGTGTGTTTTTTCTCTGCATCCCCCTTCCAGCCCATGGGGCTTTGCAGTGAGGACACACCAACTTGCAGCTTACCAGCTGCTGTCCTTTATAAAGTTTATATCTCCGAGCATTATGTTTTATGGTACACATAGCCCCGCCAGACAAAGTAACATTTATGTCAGATCTGGCCCTCATAACAAATGAGTTTGACACCTCCGGTTTGACCTATTCATAGGAGCAGAAAAGAGCAAGAGTCCAGTAGCACCTTAAAGACTAACAAAATTTGTGGCAGGGTATGAGCTTTCATGAGTCACTGCTCACTTCTTCAGCTATCTGAAATTTTGTTAGTCTTTAAGGTGCTACTGGACTCTTGCTCTTTTCTACTCCTACAAATAGACTAACACAGCTACACATCTTCTGTTTATAGGAAACACTAATGTGTGTAGGGGCTGTGCCTCAGTGGAAGATCCTAAATTCAGTCCCCTGCATCTCCCATTAAAAGGATCAGACAGCTGGTGATGTGAAAGACCTCCATCTGAAGTCCTGGAGAACTGCTACTAGTCAGAGTAGACAGTACTGACCTTGATGAACTAATGGTCTGGTTCAATGTAAGGCAGCTTCATGTATTTTCATGTATGGGTACAGTTCTTCGAACAGTGCTAATGTATTTGGATCCTTTTGTGTGACTAGAGGCACACTGATTAATCACTGAGAGGCTTGGATACATATAGTACTGGGTGAAGCTTGCTGCTCTCTGGAATGGCTATTTTCTCAGTAAATTGATGAGATTAAGCAACTTGCTCTACTGACTCTCCTACCTTTGTTATGGTATTGGGCCAGAAACCTCGGGTGACTTAATAGAGCAGAGGTTGTACCCACCTCAAGATGGAGGAGAGGAAAGAGAAGAAAGGCAACCCAAAATGGAGGCATGATATCAATATTTTCCTTAATCAATATTGTAGCTATCCTTTTGATCTTTTCCAGTTTATTAACTTTAATAACTGTGATGCCCAAAACACAATATTCCAGTTGAATTTTACTGAGCAGAATGTCTGTATGTAGTGAGGATATTAGAACTTCCCTGAAAATTTCTTCTACTTTTCCTGGAACATTTTGCTTTTGTAAAATTCCCTCAAGTATTTTGCTGAAGTGGAAAATTTAAAATCTGTTTTTAAAATTTTGTTAGGACAATATTGGCTGGCCTCTCTAGACTAGAATGTATAGTTTATCCTGCAAAGTGTTTGAAGCTTTTCACAGCTGGTGTTCCTTTGTGTTTGATAAACTCACTAATCCAGTTTTGTTAATAATGACAATGAATTGGACGTGATCCAGCCTTGAACTCACAAAACTACTACTAGGCACCTTTTACCTTGTGGAGTTTGGTTCCTGCTCTATTATGCTTCCTATGGAAATCTTTGACTATACTTTTTCCATATAGTTTATAGTTACCATGCCTTTAGTATGTATGCATTTTTAACCTGTGTTTGTCTATGGGAGAAACTCTACAACAGATGCATTTGTCAGTTTTTGCTCTCTTTCTCTTCCAGCTAGTGGCAATTATGTTATGTTAAATGGCACACGAATTGTACATATTGGTAAAGAAGGAAATACCTGGGTGCCCATTGGAGGACTAATCCCATTTTCAAACTACTCCATACAAGTGAATGCTTCCAATAGTCAAGGCTTTGTGATAAGTGATCCAGTAACAATTGCCATACCTCCTGGGGGTAAGTATAATTAAATGTCACTAGTATGGAAATGAAACATTACCTTGAAAGTCTAACACAATTAAATATTTGAAGTGGAGTGAGGGGTTGTGTCACTTCTCAAATACGTTTTGCAGGGTTTTGAAAGAGTACAGTAGTCAACACAACTTGTTAATAGAGGCAATAATATGATGAATATATACATGATGCGTCAGGTCCATTTGAGTAAGGATTATGTATCTTTCCTATGTTCGCCTTCTCTCAGTAGTCCCTCCTGATCCTGGTAAAGTTGATTCTTGTGTTTGCAGGACCCATGTAAAGTAATAGCTACCTGGCACATTGGTTGCAGTGAAGGGGGTGAAAGTTTGGTGTAGTGGTTAAGGGTGGCAGCCAGTATGGTGTAGTGGTTAAGAATGGTGGACTCTAATCTGGAGAACTGGGTTTGATTCCTCCCTCTCCTGCATGCAGCCAGCTGGATGACCTTGGGTCAGTCATAGTACTCTTAGAGCTGTTCTCTCAAGAGCAGTTCTTTCAGAGCTTTCTCAGCCCCACCTACGTCACAGGGTGTCTATTGTGGGGAGATGAAGGGAAGGAGATGGTAAACTGCTCTGAGACTCCAAGTGAAGGGCAGGGTATAAATCCAACTCTTCTTCTTCTTCTTCCCTCCTGCCTCTTTTCTCAGTGCAACCTCTTCTCTCTTCTCACTGCAGCCCACCAACCTGTGGTGGCTGTTATTCTAGGGTCAAAAGGAACTGGTAGATTCTTATTTATAAACCACTGTGACTTCTCTAGAAAAAAACCCCCAGACTATCTCTAGCAATTTGTTGGGATAGGAATAATGCAGATAGCAGGTTTGTTTGCCAATAGTCTTCATATTCATCAGTGTAACTTTACCACCATACAGGGCCAGATCTTCCTCTGAGAGAAACTGGAATTCTTAATTTAGATGCACTGAAGCCACTTTGGCATAGCACAAAAGTGTTGGATTAGGACTGGGGAGAATCAAACTTCAACTGAATTATAAAGCTCTCTCAATAGTTTTAGAGGGTAGCCATGTTGATCTGCAGTAGAACGGCTAGATTTGAGTCCAGTAATACCTTAGAGATTTTCAGGGTATAAACTTTTAAAAGGCAAAGCTCCCTTCATCAGATTCCAGGAGATCTTGAGCTAATCTCTCTTTTCTTTCCCTCGCTGTCCCTCAGCATAACCTAGTATGAGGGGCTGTGAAGACAAAATGGAGGAGTGGGTGTCTTACCAAGAGTTTCTGGGCAGAAAGACTGAATAAACATGTAAAAATAATCAGAATAGTGGTAAGGGAAGCTAAAAATGTGGTCTGTTCTATAAATGATGTACCTACACATTTTTAAAACAGAATAGAACTAATGTCCTGAATTTTAATGGATTTTTGATCTTAATATTTATATTGTTTTGGTCACTTGGGACAGAACAATTTGCTAAATCAGCAGAAATAATTTTTCCCACATTAAAAAAAAATGTTACAATAACATTTTAAACTGATCTGTACTCCCCCCCTTACTGCCATTTGTATCACCAACCTCACCAATGATATTCATAAATAAGGTAACATAAGTCTATGAAATCAAGCAATAAAAAGAATGACACTACACGGTGATGCATATTATTGAACATGAGTGAACAAAATAATGTGAGTCAAAAACAACAAGTGAGAGTTATATACTGAGGCTAGATGTGATGACCTTATGGAGCATGAGTGTGGGGCCGTGCATTTCAAAACATAGGTGAAAATGAATGGACATATTGTGAACGTGTTTTTTTTAATAAAGGAGTGTATTTCACTCTAATTGAAACAAGGATGAAAATGCATGAGTATTTTTGGCTACTCCCTAAGTGAAAGATACACAATGTGCTCTCCTTATGCTGGATTCAGTGGTTGGATTCAGTAGAAGAGGTTGAAAATAACATTCTGTGGTTGGCAAATAGAAAAGACTTTCTAGATACTTCTCAGTGAATCACCATGACAAAAGCAGAATGACATACTCCTGTATGTTGTCACTGGCCTCTCAATTTCCATGATTCTTCCCAGATCATATATGTCACTAATATCCAGGTGGAACCTTGCATTCTCCCAGAATTACAACCGATCTCCAGATCATAGAGATCAGTTCCCCTATAGAAAATGGCAACTTTACAGGGTGGACTTAATGGCATCATACCCTGCTGAGGTCCCCCTTCCCCAAACTCCAGCCTCCCTAAGCTCTGCCCCCACATCTCTAGGAATTTCCCAACCTGGAGTTGGCAACCCTACATTGTACAGAATCAGGTCTTCAAAGTGACTGCTTTCTGGCACTGGAATCAGTTTTAACAGCTCCTGTGAGAGGTGCTGTAATCCAATAGTACCTCAGACCAGCAGGTTTTACTGCATTTTGGTGCAATTATTTCAAAAGTATAAACACTATCCTCTCCTAGAATTTAACAAGAAAAGATGCTGGATTTCTGTGATTGGATCTTCTATCTCTTGAAGATGTAATAACTGTGGCTGCAGGGGAAAGGGCTAGTTTGGATTGAAACCATAATGTTTGTGATTTCTGCACACCATTAAAAAAAAAAATCGCACACACACACTGCTGTTTGCCCCAATAGAGAAAAAAAATAAAGGTGCCTGTAAATTTTTCTAAGTGCAGTTCTGGAGAAACCATTTTCTTTGAGGAAACAGCTTTATGGAAAACTTTTAACCTCCCCAACACTGTCCTCCCAGTCCAAGTCAGGAGCAACTGCAGCTGTTAGTAATGAAAAGTTGAACAAACAGGGAGAGAAGGTGGCATGATATAGCCTGGTCTTGTCAGATCTTGGAAGCTAAGCATGGTCAGTATTTGGAAGGGAGACTACCATTGACATCTCTGCAAAGGAAGGCAATAGAAAACCACCTCTGCTTCTCATTTGCCTTTAGGTCACCGTAAGTTGGCTGTGACTTGATGGTAGTTTACTCACACAAAAAGATACAGGAGATCTGGTCATGGATCTCCAACATTTTGTCTTGCCAAGAATTTAAGAGTCCCATATTTGAAAAAAAATGAGTTTAAATGTACTCACTGGGTGATCTGAGGAACCATCAGCAGGCCATTGGGGCTAATAGTACTTTTCTACTTTTAGGTTGTTGTAAGTATTGTTGAGATAGAGGTTTTTAACTATTATTTTAAGTTGCCTTGAACCATGAGAAAAGGTGGGAGATGATAGGTAGGTAGGTAGGTAGATAGATGGATGGATGGACGGATGGATAGATAGATGATAGATAGATAGATAGATAGATAGATAGATAGATAGATAGATGTGAATAGGGAAATATATTAGTTGAATACCATTATTCTATTGGCTCATCTAGTTAACTACTGACTCCATTTACTGGAAACAGTTTTTGAAGGTTTCAGAGGAAGAAAGATATTTCACAGCACCAGCCTGTTAACAAGTCACAGTGAGTACATGAACAAACTGTGTACAATATACACTTCATTTCTTTTAAATATGTGTACAGCTGAATATACGACCCAAACCTACATTTATCCAGTTACTGATCCCTGGTTCCAGTTGCAAAGCGAATGTGTGTTGGCTCTTTCTTATAAACACATGTACATACTTAATGTGTAGGATGTACATCACATGTGGACAGGGCTTGAGATTCTTTTAATTGGACATTCCAGGCATTGAACCTGGGACTGTGTGTTCTGTCACCGAGCCTCATTTGCTTATGTAAGTTGACTATCTTCTTTCTTGGGAAACTCGTGGGGAAGAGGACCCAGTTTAATGCAGTGAGCTCAAATCCAGAATTGACACTCATAGCAGGCTGTAAATAAAGATGCCTGCATGTTTCATGATAGGAGCTTTAACAACATTGTGCTCAATTTCAAATATTCAGTGTAGATATCTTCATTTGCACCAACTATTTGGTTGATTTCTTAGAAGAGAGAGAGAGAGAGAGAGAGCAACAATCCGATGACTTCACTCAAGGAAGAGATAGAGCATCTTACTGAAGCATGTATTTATGCCAATTTATTTTAGGAATTATGAGATAGCTTTCATCATTTGATTGTTGTTGATTACAATTAGGAAACTTATAGCTTTGAAATGATCTTTTTTATGACCTTGTGGTACTTTAAAAGCAATACCTCATTGATTAAATAGGTTTTAGTTCATGCTTCCTTTTACTTAATGATCTGAGAACATATTATCCTGATTTACACATAAAATCATGCTGAAAAGCATGTGGCATTCACTAGACTATGTGTGTTTAAGTAGAATTAAATTAGCACTGAAAGTTATTAAAGAAATCTTCCATCCCATTGTCCAGTGGACTGTGATTCATACTGAAATGAATAATAAATGAGCCAGCACATAGGAGAAAAGCACTGGTATATAGGACATTCTGCAATCCATATTTACCTTGCCATTATGCTTTATTATAATAATTTTGTTTTGAGTGCATTAACACTTATGACCCTAATGCTACATTTTAAATCCAATAGTAACCAGTATGTTAAAAAAAGAGGAATGTGTCATTATTGTTAGCTTAGCTGAAGGTGATCTGAAGTGCCGCATCCAAAGTTTGAGCATTCATGTATTTGCAGGTACTTTTTTGAAAGGAGAAGCCGTCTTCACCCAGGCCTGGTCCAACCTTCATTCAGGTGTGTGGCAGAGCAGCCCTGCTGTGACCTGCAGGCCATATTCCATGGTGCCCTCCAAGGCATCTGGGCCTGAGTGGCTGCCCAAGGTCTCTGCTAGGCACATGCCAACCACCTGGTTTTCCTAACACCTGGAGAGGTTTTTCTCTCTTCCTTTCTCTGTTCAACCACTGCCACCACCTGGCCTTTGTAGGAATTGCCTGCTGAGAGGGCCAGGGTTCTCAGCTGTCTTGCCCTGTTCTGAGGACTCAACAAATACAAATACAATACCTTTATTGGCATAAAATGGACTCACCTTTGTGTCTCCCGCTATCCAGCTTCTGGTTGCCATAGAGACAGCTTACTGCCTTGTGCATCGCTGAGAGA